GAAGACCCCCACCCCCTCCAGGGACCGTGGCGCAGCGCTGGCAGCACGTGAGGCAGCGCCAGGCCTGGCCCCGCGGCCACATCAACTCCCGCCTCTTCTCACGACCCCAAGCTGTCGCTCTAGCGCCTGCCCGCTCGCTCCGCCTTACCGTGACTCCCGGCCCATGCTGCCAGCAGCAGGAAAGTCGACGCCCCTGGGGCTGACGTGCAGACCAACCGGACAAAGGAGGTGGCCGCGCTGCGCTCGATACGCCGGGAGAGGACCAGCTCTTAGGCGGCAGAAGATACAGCGCTGACGGCCATTCCAGCGAGGCCAACGAAAACAGGATGTGAGGGCGCCAGCGGCAGAGAGGGGGAAAAGCCGGCCGGAAGCCGCCCTTCCGCCACAGCGCCGCCTGTCGACTGGAGGGCGCACGGCGCAGGCCACGCCCAAAGGAATTCCTCCGTGCGCTTTGCCAGGAATAGGCGGGCTGGCTGGTGGGATGCCCAGCGCTACGTCGGCCTTACTGGCCTGGGTCATTCTTAGCGTCGTTCTTCCCAGGCTCACGTAGGCGACCTAGGCAACTCCCTGCGGTCCCAGGGCCTACACTGACATCCGCTTTAATCTGGGCTAAATAATGCTGTAACCCATCTCCATACCGTTTACATCAAGCCCCTGAAAAGTTAAAAAAAAAAAAAAAAAAAAAGGGGGGGGGGGGACCAGCAGTTAGCGTAATGGCTATGTTGCTGGACTCCCATGTAGTCGGCGGCGGTTCGCGTCTTGAACCCGGTGGCTTAAACTCACGCCAGGCGCGTGTGCGTGCGTGCCCAAGATCCTGAGAGGAGAATGGTGAAGGGGAGAATGGAGAAGGGATTGCGGCGTGTCCATCTTCCCTGGGGGGTGATTTCTCGCTTTCTGTCTCTCTGTCTCTCTCTGTCTGTCTGGCGAGCGCACGCGCCCTATAGCAAAAAAAATTAAAATAAAATAAAAAAATCCTCTCCAAAAAGAAAGTGAGAAATCACCCCCTGACGGGATGGCCATGCTGCAAATCCTTCTCCATCCTCCTCTCGGATTTTGGGCACACATGCACATGTGCCCAGTGTGAGCTTATTTATTTATTTATTTTGAGAGAGATTTTTGCTGGGACCAGTAATTGGCATAATGGCTATGTCGCTGAACTCTTATGTAGCTGACCGCGGTTCAAGTCCCAGAACCAGTGACATTAACTCATGCTGGGTGCATGTGCATGCATGCCACGGATCCGGAGAGGAGAATGAAGGGGAAGGGATTACGGTGTGGCCATCCCCCCCTGGGGTGTGATTTCTCGCTTTCTACCTCTCTGTTTCTGTCTGGCAAGCGCATGCACCCTATAGCAGAAACCTCTCAAAAAAATAAAAAAATAAAAAGATTTTTGCTACAGGGCACATGCACTCACCTAACAGAGAGACAGAAGTGAGAAATCATCCCCCGAGGGGTGGCCATGCTATAATCCCTTCTCCATTCTCCTCTTTGGATCATGGGCACCCACGCACAGGCGTTCAACCTAAATTTTAAGTCAACAGGTCCGGGACTCAAACCCCGGTTAACTACATCAAAGTCCAGTAATGTAACCATTACGCCATCTGCTGGTCCCTCCCCTGTCATAAATGGTAAAGCACTGGGTCCAGGTCTCAAACTGCGATCAACTACGTGGGAGTCCAGTGATGTGACCATTATACCATCAGCTAGTCCCAAAATTAAATTACTCTTTTTTTTTTTTTTTGGGGAGGTTTTCACTATAGGGGGCG